ATGTTTCCCCCGAGCGATCATGACTATGTCATCTGCATACCCAATGCAGTGTATTCCCGCTAGAGTTAATTCGTCTAGTAGTTCATCCACCACCAAGCTCCACAGCAAAGGGGAGGTTACTCCACCTTGTGGAGTTCCTTGCGTTGTTTTAACAGCTACAGTTTTGGTGCCCATCTGAGCCTCTGCTGTTCGTGTTGACAGCATTTCCCAAAACCAGCGAATAATAGTTCTGTTCACCCCTCTTGTTTCTAGAGATCGCCTGACCACCTTATGTGGTATATTGTCAAACAATTGTCATTGTTTCAATGTTGATTAAGTATTTTTTTAAATATATATGTTTATAGTCTATAAATACATGTTTAGAAGAACAGAAAGAAAAATAAATATAAATATATTTTGTTTATATTCAAAAAACAGTTCTCTCGAGTGCTTTGACTTTATCGAAAATAAAAATATTGTGATTTTTTTTTATTTGTTTCCAAATATCTTCTACACAATGTATGTAGCCAAAAATGTAGATTTATAAATTTTAAAAACTTCTATTTTGTAAATCGTATCAAATCGATTGTGTAAAACCTAATCTAATTTTACACAATACTTGTAGGTATGATTAACATTTCTTTGTAGTTTCTAGTATTTTTAGTAAGGTCCGACAGAGATCTCAGTCTCGTTCTCGGCATAATAACGCCGAGATTATCGGCCACGGCCGAGACTGCTCACAATCGTCAAGTTAGCTTATTTTTGAGCATAATGCTCCACCTATCGATGCAAATGTGCGTGAATGAAATACTCGTCCAAAGTCGAAAAAAAAAACAATGGATCATATCTGATCGATATATGATCTGATCGAATCACGAAGGGGATTTCCCAGACGGCTGAAGAATCGCTTTCGTATTTCTATGCGTAATCAATGAACGAAATGTTAGATGTTAGTGTCTTATTAATGTATGTTTTATAAATTTAAAAGACTTTTTTTTTAAATGAATTAGTCGTATATCCTACTAATAAGTAAATTTTTTTGTGTAATTATTTACCTCCATACAGAGTTTTGAAACCAGCAGCTTATACATTTCTAGTCTGTACCACCAACTATTTAGTCTCTAGCAAACAACTATTTAGAAAAAATATGATGAAACACTGCACAATTAAAACGACACAATTTGAAAGGATGCAATGCTGAAAAAAAAACAGTCTCGGCCGATACTAATTATCCAGGTTCGGTCGGACCTTAATTTTTAATGACATCAACATATAAATGACAATCATATGTAAAAGAATTGTGTCAAATTAGGTTAGATATTATAAGTTGGATTTTGGCTATTTTATAGCGTTTTCTGCTCCATATTTTGATCTTTGTCTCACAAGACATCCCTTTTCAAAATGGTTAATAACTTAAAGATTGAAATATAGACTATTACAAGGAATCATTTTTCATTATATCGCATTCATTTTATAACTAACACAAGATTGAGTAAACATACAATGTTTTTTTAGAAAATTCAGAATATACTTATTAGAACCATGTCAAATAAATTAATGTCAAATAGTATATTTCAATATAATAGAAATAGTACGAGCGCTAGCAACGTCTCGTCGAGAAAACAAGTATTTTAAGAAAGCTGGCTCTCGATATATCTTTTACTATGCTCTCTGGAATAGCTTGCGGGTCGTCTGGCTGATGATAGACGTTGCGTTCACTACTGCGCATCGAAGAAGATCCTATATTTTTTATTTAGTCCTTTAAATTTTAGTATTGAATAAAAATCCAAGTCTCCATAGCGCCGCGTGAAAAGTCTGAGTTCGAGACCGGCTCGGGGTATAAACTTTTTTATTTTATTTTCGTTTATATTCTGATAATAAAGTATTAAATATTTGTATTAAATATTTTTTTAAGTCTGGCAAATTATTTTTGTATTTCTTCAGAATTTCAGCCATACCAAAATAGTACTTTTTTTGTTGTATATCCCATTGCCACTGGCACGTTATTTTCAATAACAAAAAAAATATTTATTAAATTTAAATAATTTTTCTACTTTCATTATACCATATGATCGAATAAAAACGGCGTCAACGATGGCTATGAAATGAAGATCGCTGTCATTTTATTTGTAAAATTATATGGGAAATGTAATCATCGTCATTTCCAAGCCAACTGGACGCCGTTTTTTTTCGATCATACGGTACTACAAATTTGCAAATTTGACAAGAATCAATTTAATTGTATAATCGACATAAAAATAGAAATATTTTCAACATCTACTCTATTAATAAAAATACTCTTTGTTATTTGTTAATGGTATAATAAGCTAGTTTGTTATAGTATAATATATAGAATAAAATATGCTTTTTAAATGTTTTTTGTAATACAAAATCCATTGCAGGTATATTTTTTACCAATAATTTTAGTTATTATAGTTTGTTATAGATATTACAGTTATTATGAAGTAAAACTAACTAAACATCAAAAGGATTTTTTTAAAAGTTTACAGTAAATATGTACCTTTAATGTGTATTGAATAAATGAATATAATAAATACAAACCTATAATATGAACGTAATTCAAATGGAAATGTAATGCACACAGGAGCAAAATATTATGTTATAGATATGCAGAATCTCGTAGATTTAGTAAAGATGTTTATGTAGTAACGTAAACAACCGTTGTCACCAACACCATTAAGCTTTGTTGCATTTGTGTACCACCACATTTAACGGTCTACTTAGATTATTGGCCATAAGACGACAAACAACAGATTCATTGCCTCAAAGCTAATGACAAAAGCTACATTATACAGGGTGACAATTTTAAAAGTAGCAATCATGAATATATTTCAGTCAAAATATACTGTCAGGAAGATTTTAAATATATTTATTATTTATTAAGTATAACAGAAAGAACATTGACTCTTCTGATGTGTAATTGAAACATTTATGATGAAATTATTTGTCTAAGAAAAAGTCAGATTTACTAGTTTTTAACAATGTTATTTTCTTTTAAACACCAATATCTCAAAAACTAACCGTGAAATTTAAGATCTTGTTATAAGACCATCTATGCTATAACCATATATATATATAACCATCTATGCTATATATCTTATATCTAAGACTACAAGGAACCCATGATCTTATAACCACATGTCATATCATTAAGTATGTATTAAAAAAAGTTGTAATGGTTATCTTCTAAATAGAGGATGGATGATACAAAAAATCAAGTGATTCCTTCTCAAATATTCTATAAAACATTTTTTTTAAATATAAATACCATTTTTATATGATTTTAATAAATAATATCTATCATGTGCTCATATTTATCATGTAATGTATATGCTCACTACAGTATACACAGACCTCTGCAAACTGAAATCACATCTACATAGGATATGACTGATGGTAGACGTCGAATGCCGACTCTGTATTGAAAGTTATGTTAACTTTAAATAAGCAACAAGTCCACAAATGACGCTATGTTTTCCCTCCTTAATAAAGTTTACTCCAGCCTAAACAACCATCATTCTACAGCAACAATTTTCTGTGATTTTTCTAAGGCGTTCGATTGTGTAAATCATAAGATCCTAATTAATAAACTGCAGCACTATGGGTTCAGGGGATCATCTCTCGAATGGTTTAAGTCGTATCTGAGCAACAGAAGTCAACTTGTGAGGGTGGATACCACGTTGTCTTCTAGCAAGCCAATAGAATGTGGAGTACCACAAGGCTCAGTACTAGGCCCTATTTTGTTTCTTCTTTTTATTAACGACATTGCTAACATAAACATCAGTGGCAAAATATGTCTTTTTGCGGACGACACTAGCTTCACTTGGAGCAACAAGGACATCGCGGCACTTCATAGGATTATATCAAATGACTTAATCACCATTAAATCTTGGTGCGATTCGAACCTCCTGAGTCTCAACATTTCTAAAACTAAGGCTTTGTCGTATAAAAACTCGTTGCAGCCTTTTGTACTTGACAACACCACCATTGACGTCGTAAAATCCGTAAAATTCTTAGGGCTTGTTGTGGACAATTCTCTGAAATGGGACATACATATCGAAGCTTTGTCGAAAAAATTGAGCTCTGCCTGTTTTGCATTAAGGTCTGTTTCTAAGGAGCTTAACTTGTCAGTGGCTAGAACTGTTTATTATGCACTTTTTGAGTCGCACCTCAGGTATGCCCTTCCATTCTGGGGTACGTGTTGTGCGGCTCAATTTGACCGCATTTTCAAGCTCCAGAAGAGAGCTGTTCGATATTCACTGGGACTAAACAGCAGAACTCATTGCCGGGGCTTTTTTAGAGAATTAAAAATATTGACTCTTCCTTCCTTATTTATATTTGAATCCGTTTGCCTAATACGTAAACATGTATCAGCTTCTCAAGAAAGGCCATCTCACACTTATCCACTCAGGAACGCGGAGCAAGATCTTTATCTACCTACCCCACGCTCAGAGTTAGTTAAAAGTTCAATATTATACAACTCGAAAAAAATGCACAATCACCTGCCATTTGAAATCAAATCCATAACATCATTTTTTTCATTTCGCAAAGCATTGAACTCTTATTTACTAGACAAGGCTTTCTACGCCGTAATGAATTATATTTGAATTGAAAATCGAATTTGATCTTGAAAACACTGGTCTAATGTTTGCTATTGTTATATTTACTAATGACATCGAAATTAATTTATTTAGAGGTCATTGATATTTTGCTATAAACTGGCTAAATATTTTTGAATATTTTTTTATTTTTTTGTTCTTTGACATTGTAAACATTTATATATGTTTATTTTAACAATAAGACTGACAATATTATTTGTATAATGTTTTGTATTATCTTTTGTTTGTTTGTTTGTGTACCTTGTTATTTGTTACTTTGTTTGTTAGTTTACCTTTGTCCACAAATTGAAAAATTTTTTGACAATAAAGGCATTTATTTATTTATTTATTTATATTTATTTATTTATTAAAGATTGTAGAACTGATTAATATTAAACTTACCGGTTATAATCCATAACTCTCTTAGACATTCTTCTCTAGTTTTTTGAAAATCTGTAGTCTGATGGTGTTCACCTCCACCTTCTAAAAACTTGAATAACAATGCTCCAAGCAGGGCGTATCCTATCATAAGAACAAAAAGGCTTGTTCGTCCACACAACATGGCTACAGAACATTTTTTTGTGTTGGTGTCGTATTCTTGGTCGGTTTCTTGCATCTGAAACAAAGTATGATTTGTTATTAATTAAAAAAAAGTCATTTTAAGACTGGTGATCATTAGTATACAACAAAACATTAATTTTGAAAATGTTCTCTATGTACAGGGTGGGTCAAATTCGACGCTTTTAAATGGAAACACCCTTTTCTATTGGAGATAGGCGAAAACTAATATCGGTGTCTGGAGCTCAATTTTCATCAAAAACATAATGGTGAAAACCGCACATCAATATCTGTTACCGTTTCGGAGTTACGGGGTGTTTTTCAAAAATGTGCATTTTTAACAAATCGCTGTAACTTTTTTACTATGGAAAATTTTGTATTTCTATGAAAACATTTCCAAAGCACCTTTTTACGTAAAATTTAATGGTTTAAGTATAATTTTTTTAAAATTAATAATTTAAGAGTTATCAACAGAAAAATTGATTTTTTATTTGGGACACCCTCTATATTTTTAATTAACTGAAAAGAATTTAACATTACCTTTCCAAAAATATAGCACACTTGATATTTTGTTATAATCCCCTTTGCAATACAGAGTTTTTAAAAGTTCGCCACTTTAAACTAGTAGGCTTTGGACCACTTATTGATAATATGCCCTTAATGGAACTCGAAAATATATTTTTCCAGCAAGACGACGCACCGCCCCTGAACGCTGAAGTTATTAGCATATTTTTGCAGCCAATTTCAAGAATAATTGAATAGCTAACCAAGATCCCAGCCGTTGGACGTCGAGGCCGCCTGACTTAGTGCCCATGGATCTAATTCCATGGATATATTTGTGGAAGAATAAAGGTTCCTTATTCTTCCGTATAATCTAAACAAGAATTAGAAATACTGAGCAGTTATGAGAGGGTATCTTTCACCCCCACTGAGTTAATGAATTCCGCGAGAAATGTTCAAAAACTGCCCCGTCTGTCCATAACAGAAGACGGTCAATATGTCGAACACCAGTAGCAAAATCTCATGTCTTGGTTTGCTATTTATTTTTATTCTTATTAGATATAGTTTAAATGTGTTGATGCTGGTTAAATATATTTTAAATTGTTATAAAGTTCTGAATCTCTCATAGCAAATATTATTTTCGTTTTAATTGATGCTCACAGCTAGAATTTCTTTGCATTACAGCCGGTGCCATTCAAAGCCTACTTATTTAAAGCGGGCGAATTATATACTCTATATCTCGAAGAGGAATCGAGCAAAATATTTAGTGTGTTATCTTTTTGGAAAGGTAATTTTAAATTCTTTTCAATAAATTAAAAATATACAGGGTGTCCCATATAAAAAATCAAATTTTCTGTTGATAATTCTTAAATTATTAATTTAAAAAAAAAATTATACTTAAACCATTAAATTCTTAATTCACGTAAAAAGGTGCTGCTACGTGAAAGTTACAGCAATTTGTTAAAAATGCATATTTTTGAAAAACACACCGTAACTCCGAAACGGTAACAGATATCGATATGCGGTTTTCATCATCATATTTTTGACAAAAATTGAGCTCCAGACACCGATATTAGTTTTTGTCTATCTCCTATAGAAAAGGGTGTTTCCATTTAAAAGCGTCGAATTTGACCCACCCTGTACAGGGTGGGTGAAATGTGGGGGGTGGGTCTTTTTACGCCACAGGAAGTGTCATTTTTTACCCTAATAAAACAATATATTATTTTACAAGTTACAGTATTATTTTATATTGCTATAAAAGGAGAAATATAACCTTTCAGTATATAATGATCAAAGGACTACGTACTCGTACAGGTATTCCGAGATTTTATATTATTTTATCCATACATGGCAATATTTCTTCAGTCTATCGATAAAGAAATAGCGATTACCAGGCCCTCTAGCTTTTGTTATAAGATTTTCTGCCTTCGACTGGCTCCGTATGCACACTAGATTATATTTTATTAAATTAGATTTCCCAGTACGAGCATATATGCTCTTGGAAACAAAGGAACTCGAAATATTGCTTCAAATATATATCAAATCTTCTATATATAGTTTTATGAAATAGTTTATATTTTTCTTTTATAGATTTTTGTTAATTGTCTAAATAACTATAAATTAAATCAGTTTATTTACCATTTACAAACTATTATTTTAAATGATTTCAATAATTGAAATCAAGCTTTTAGGGAAAACCAAATAATTTGACTCAAAAAAGTCAATAAAAACTGGAAGCTGGTGAATAATTTAATGTTTTATTTTTATTTTACAGGGTGAGTCAACGATAGAGTAAAGTCCATTATCTCATTTGTTTCGAGGTTTACAAAAAATATTAAATATAAAAGTTGTAGAGATGGTTAAGATACACATTTTAAAATTATTATACAGTATACAGGGTGCTTCAAAAAAGTGTGGCGAATATAACATATGTTTTTTTAAATGCCAACACCCTATTTTTTATTTCATTTTTGGATTCTGCGTAAAATTTCATAACTTTTTTATATACAATGTTATATACCTAAAATTAATAGTTTTTGTTATATTTAAATTTGTTTAAACAAATGTTAGATTGCAGTGTAATAAAAAATTGTCATTGATGGCATTGATTCTGAAGTTGGACAACTAACATTTGGTAGGAGAATTTTATAGAGATATAGAAAAAGACCTATGTAAAGATATTTTAGTTAGATGTTACAGGGTGTTCAAAATATATTTATGAATTTCAACTACTTAAAATTAAGAAATTTCAATTTTTTTAAATGGTACACCCTATATATTATAATTTTTTCTGATAGATTTTACAAAACTCTTCAACTTTTATTAAGTATGTCATATACCTATTTTTATTAGTTTGCAATTTATTCCAATTTTTTCTATTTTTACCCATATTTTTAATACAATTGCGCTATAACATCATAGTCGCTATGATAAAAAGTAATAATTATTAGAATTTCATGTCTGTTAAGCAAATTAAGAACACAATTTGAATTTTAGTTTAATTTGTTGTAGTAAGTATAAATGGTAGAGATAATAGTTACAGATTTTCTTGAAATGAATTAGTCAATGTGATTGATATACACGGACAAGCCTAGAAAACCACATTTTTTTGGTTCAATACTATAGATTATATAGTATTTTGCTAACTACTATAAGAATAGATATATATTACCTAGAAAACATCTTCAGTGTGTAATGGGACGGTTTTGCGGCAGTAGTAATATTGGCTTTACCAAATGAATTATAAACTAGAATTACTACGAGAAAACTTTACTGTATGTCGAAGAAAATTGCTATATCAGTAGTCTTCAGCAATTAGGTAATCTAGTATTACCCTAATCTGTGGCTATTCGCCCTGACTAAAAATCCCAAGTGTCATCTTTCATAATATGAAAATACACCAAGAAATTCACTACTGCGATTTAGTTTATTTGAGTAAAGTTAATTAATTTTAACTAATACCAGCAATTGTAACTAATTATGAAGCTATTTGTTAAAGGGAAGTAATAAATATTTTTGTTTTGTCATGGCAACTATGATTTTATAGGGTAATTGTATTAAAAATATGGGTAAAATAGAAAAAAATGGGAATAAATCGCAAACTATTAAAAACAGGTGTTTGACATACTTAATAAAAGTTGAAGAGTTTTGTAAAATCTATCATTTAAAAAATTTGAGATTTTTTAATTTTAAGTAGTTAAAATTCATAAATGTATTTTGAACACCCTGTATCATTTAACTAAAATATCTTTACATATATATATTTTTTCATCTCTATAAAACTCTCCTACCAAATTTTGGTACTCCAACTTCAGAAACAATGGCACTACTGACAATTTTTTACCACACTGCAATTTAACATTTGTTTAAATAAATTCAAATATTACAAAAACTATTAATTTTAGGTATATAACATTATATATAAAAAAGTTATGGAATTTTACGCAGAATCTAAAAATAAAATAAAAAATAGGGTGTTGCATTTAAGAAAACATATGTTATAGCCGCCACACTTTTTTGAAGCACCTTGTATACTCTATAATAATTGTAAAATGTGTATCTTAACTATCCCTATAACTTTTATATTAAACATTTTTTTGTAAACCTTGAAACAAATGAGATAATGGACTTTACTCTATCGTTGACTCACCCTGTACAGTATGTCCCCAGATTGTCTTTACAAGAGGAAAAACTTTTTTGTGAAAGCGTTTCGAAATTGACAATTTTTGATATTTATTTGAGCTTCGAAATGACATTCTTTTAGGCACTAGTGTCTAAAAGTGACACTTGTTTAGGCACTAGTGCCTAAAAGTAAAAAATTAAACGTTAGAATCAATGAAAATATTTATTTATTATAAATATTAAAGTTACAATTATTTAAATTATTAAAGGGAATACAATAGGCATCCAACTTTTCGTCTCTAAGACAAATGCAAGCTGTAGGAGTCGGAATAAGTAAATTTCTTGTACTGGCAATGCTGGTGGCTTCTGCTCCTACGTAAACTGCTTTTAATTTCTTATTTGGCGTATCTTTCTGTCCCATGATTCTTTTTGCTATTTCTGTTCAATTGAATTTTCAATGTAACCTCTTCAGCAACGGAGCGTGGTCCTGTCCGCTCATGAATCTGCCAGCATTGTTGTAGGGCTGCGCCGGAAACAATGACCAGTGTATTCAATGGCGTTGGAGAGTCCAAGAAATTCCGCTATCTTTATTGGAATACCCCAAATTGTATTGGTTCCAACTGGCAGGGTACAGCAATGATTTATTCTATACGTCAAGAAAAATCGCTGATGTGTCACATTGAGTGGTCGAAGTTTTGCGCAGGTTTTGCGTACTTACAAAATATATGTAAGAAATTGGTAGCATCAATTGGTCCCTCAGTAACCCAAGCAGCATTTTTTGTTTTATAAGTGTGTTAGGAAACTTCCCAACACCATATTATACAACCTAAACCCATCTAGAATGGTTGTCGTCTAGAATGAGTTATTGGTAACCATTATATAACACTTATATGCCCTAAACGGTCCATTTTATAACTGTTCCTATGGTAACCCTTA